CACTGTCCTGGTCATTAGGTTTCAACATATGCATTTTGTGGGGGACACGAATATTCAGTCTGTGGCAACCTGTTTAGTCTCATCCCCGCTTTCAGAACTCAGATGTAGATTACAGACAGGGTAATTGAAAATTCAGGAGAAAATTAACGCGGTGAGTTAAGGCACATGCAGAGTCCAGCCCCAGCCCCCTGGTAACACGCGTTTGCGTAAAGCGCTCTAACAGCGAGCGAGCGTTGTCCTGCCATTTGCTCCTGAACGGCCCTGTGAACTAGTTGGAGAATGATTCTTAGCTCCATTTTACAGATGAGACATTTGGACCAAAAGAGAGTAGGTGACTTGCTCAGCCTGATCTGTGGCCAAATCCAGATGTTTCCCCACAAGCTCAAGTTCAGAGCTCTTAGCTGTCTCTTTCTTACCCTCCTAAGTCCTGCCTTGTGGATCTTTTTTTTTTTTTTTAAGATTTTATTTATTTGACAGAGAGATCACAAGCAGGCAGAGAGGCAGGCAGAGAGAGAAGGGGAAGCAGGCTCTCCGCTGAGCAGAGAGCCCGATATGGGGCTTGATCCCAGGACCGTGAAACCACGACCCGAGCCAAAGGCAGAGGCTTAACCCACTGAGCCACCCAGGTGCCCCCCTGCCCTGTGAATCTTGTTAGTTTTCGGCCTTAAGCGTCTTCTCATTCCTACAAAATAATAGTTCTAATAACTGAGAATCAGCACGATTGGCGTTGTAGGCCCCAAAGGCCTGAAATTAGGGAGGTGAGTAGTTGCAGCTTAAAACAAAACTGAGCCCTTCCAACAGCGAGGCAGGACATCGTCCCATTCATTCATCCCTACAGCTGTACCTGCGGAATGACGAGTTTTATCACAGAGTAGCTTTCGGGAGAGTTTCCCAAGGAAACTGAGGGTTTCCACAGTGCGGTCTCAGTGGTGAGGAAGGCTGTGCGAGACAATGTTACTGCCCGACATCAGTCATCACACAGTGGTGAAAAAGAAGGTTCCTCGTGCTTTCCTTCCCAGTGCCCACTCACTCAGAGGAAAGAGCGTTCCTGTGTTCCATCCTCTGCAGAGAACCCAGCAAGATCAGAGGCAGCATTTCACGCCAGCTACGAGGACAGACACGTGGGCAGCCCACTCAGCCCTCACTGGGCCTAAGCTCCTGAGATCACTTCAGCCCCTGGGGGCAGGGTGGGCGGGAGGCGGGCATTCGTGTGCGTCAGTGTCTCCCCTAAGAGGCCAGATGAAGCAGAAAATATCAGGCTGTGGAAAGTGAGACGGATCTTGACTCTGAGCAGACACCTTCTCTGTTTCTCGGTCTTGACAACGTCAGTGTCACAGCCCGTACTCAGCCGAGATGGAGCTTCAGAGCGCGGTGTCTGGAGCGGATCGCCTGTCGTTGCTTCCGGGCTTTGCTCCCTAGGGTATATGTGTCCCTCAGAATGTTATTTAGCCCTTCTGCCCCTCAGTTTCATCATCTGTGGTATTTATATGGGAACAGTGGGTAAGAGCACCTGCTACGAAGGCTCACCGTCAGGACTGAACGAGTTGTTGGGTGTGAAGGCCTCCGAAGAGAACCTGGCTGACAGGAAGTCCGAGTTGGGATGTTTCCGGTTCCTGTCTGCAGAAGCCTCCAGCCTCGGGATGGGCAGCTGAGGGGTACCTGCCGAAGTCTCTCTCAGCTCTAGGCATCCTTGCTTCTGTGTTCAACCTGGACTACTTCTGTGAGCGCGAGTGTGGTCCGTGGGCAGGGAACAGCGGCCTCACCAGGGCCTCACCAGGGGGGTTGTTAGAAGTGCAAATTCTCGGGGCGCCTGGGTAGCTCAGTGGGTTAAGCCGCTGCCTTCGGCTCAGGTCATGATCTCAAGGTTCTGGGATCGAGTCCCGCATCAGGCTCTCTGCTCAGCAGGGAGCCTGCTTCCCTCTCTCTCTCTCTCTCAATCTCTCTCTCTGCCTGCCTCTCTGTCTACTTGTGATCTCTCTGTGTCAAATCAATAAATTAAATCTTAAAAAAAAAAAAAAAAAGTGCAAATTCTCCATCCAGTGCCTCCGGAAGTCTTCCAAAATCAGCATCTCAGGGCGGGCCCAGAATCCTGATGGAACATACGCTCCAAGTGATGTTTAAAGTTGGAAGAACATTGTGTCAGAATCTTCTTTTTACTGAGAAAATTCAGGCCAGATACCCACTTTTATGAATCCTAATTGCAGGGCTGCAGTGGTTACGGTGACTCTGGGGACCAAATGGCCTCAACAAGCCCTTTGACTTGGGGACTGATTGGAATTTGGACAGCTCGTTTAGGACCTCAACATAATCTGCCTAGTTCGTTAAAGGAGTGACATTTGGAATGGGAGGGGAGCCCTTGCTGGGGTAAATCCAGATTATGAATTGGGCTAAGTTTTAGTACCAATTTATATATTATTTACCTTAGATCCAATTCCCACCTACCGTCCTATATGTGTAGTCTGAATGAATCTGTAAACAGAAGATTGCTGGTGATTCAGGGGCTTTGAGGATGGTTTCTGGTGCTTTTTTAAAATATGAGTGGAGCTAAAGCTCATAAAGGAAACTGAGAGCCCATTCTTTGTAATAAAGAGAGCAGTAGGCAGTGAAAATCCATCAGTAGTGTTTGCTGAGTTTTCCCAAAAATTCCAGATACCACACTAAGTAAGCACTGCAGAGAGGTAAAGAGGCGAGAGGAATCAGTGAAGAGACGTGAACTGCTACCTTGAGCTCTCTCCCCACTCCCATGTCTCCATCCATCTACTTGTCTCCATCTGCAGGACGTTTCCCCCATCTAATCAATAAATATAAAACACATTTCTGAAATGGACTTCCTTGATCTTCTACACGACAATTGTGTTTTTAGCTAATTCTTAGGCAACAGTGAAACCATTACTTTCCCAGTTTTCTTCCTGTGCTGAAAGCGTTGAGGTATGAGTCAACTCATTACCTTTTGATGCATGACAACGTCTCTGGGATCTGTTTCTTCTAACCTCCCTCCATTTTGGAGGCACAATCCAGTTCAGGTTTGCATCACCTCATTGCCGGATGGCTTTAGCGACCTCTTGGCTATAACCTTGATGGACCAGCTTATTTCCTCTTCAGTGCACATACCTCCATCCCCCTTTGCCACAACAACTCCCCTTGAAGATGTTTTCCATAACGTGTCATTCATGCCTTTGACAGAGAAACAATTCTGCCCTCATTTTGGCTCTTCTATCAAGACCAAGTATCTCTGCCCAGCCTCAAAGCCATTCGCTAACTCTACCTCCTATGTTTCATCAAGAGAATTCTCCATATACCTTTTCATCCTAGGAATTCAATGTGCTACTCATCCCTCAACATCCTCCCACCTCCAGAGCACACACACTGTCCTCCCCACACTGCCACAAACACACTTCGCCCATCTTGTGTTTTTCTTCCTGCTCCCCTTCCATTTGTCCTCGTCTCTTGTTTCAGAACTCCCATCAGGCATCCCCTTCGGTCCTCTCTAACCTTATTTGTACCACTACTGCTATCTCCATGCTCTTATGTGGCTTTGCAAATATCCCCAAGTGATTTCTATACGTCAGTTCTCATCTAGGTAGTTTACTGCTAAAGACCGAGGCAGCAGAGAATTTTCCATTTCTTTTGTTAATGCTACACTTGGGGGAGCAGCCCAGAGATGAAGTGGGCACTAGCTCCACGTTATTCACCAATTACAAAAATGTTGCTTGATCCCCCAAAGACAACCGGGGGCGGGGGGGGGAAGCAGTTAGGAATCCTCTTCACTAAAGCCTGTTTTAGGGAGCTCTAATGAGACCCAATTAGAAACCTTCCTCCTGTTTTCATATGTTTCATGTGAACAGTAAGAGCTAATACGTGAAAAAATCAGGCTTACTGTGGCTTTTTGGACCATTGCACACTTCTCTTCTGCTCTGAATGCTTGCCTGGTTTGCATTACGATTTCCTTCCTTGCTGGAAAACTACATAGACTTTCTCCCTTTCTTTGGAAGAAGTGGGACCTGTTGGAAATGTGAGGCTCCAGGATTCAAATGCAATAGGCTTGGCTGTGGCGCTCTGTAGTGCATTTCTTGACAAGTCCTGAAAAGACTATTGAATTCTAGCCTGTGCTTTTTTTCTGCAGTATTTGGATGTGTTTCAGCAGCAGTATTTGGCTGGATAGAGTAATCGAAGTCGTTTTTTTCTCCCCCAGCAATCTTAAGTTACAATTTCATCCTTTGCAGTCAAAGTGGAATATTTTACTCTATGCAAATACTTTGGAGTGCAATAGAATCATTGCTCTTTCATAAGCAAACAATCTCCCTTTTAACATTACATGTAAACAGGTGAAAGTATAAACTGGCAATGTTATCCGGATGGAAAAACTGGTAGGTATTTGGTGACTTAGCTAGAGGATACCAAGTTACAATGAAGATTTTTTTTTTTTTTTAATTAAAGACAGGCATTTTGGAGGACCTTTTACTTAATAGGGGAAAAAAATGGTTTTCCTCTTTACTTTCCTATGATTAAAATATTGTAACTAGTAACCTCCTCAAGGTCACAAGCTTTGTGCCTATGTGGTGGGTTGGGCTTTTGATGCCCTGTGTAACAGGCTCTTGTTCTCTGGTAATCTTCAAAAGGCTGCTGGCCTTTGAATTTGCTCCATATCTAAAATTCTAGCTTTAATTATCAGATTAGCCTGCATTTTTTTTTCTTTGTGAGTAAGGCGAGGAGAAGCTGAAATGTGTTTTATTATTCTGCAAAATGCTTGAGATGGTCGGATCCCAAATGTTTAATTCTGTTCTGGAAATGGGAGCTGTCAAATTATCGACTCCTTCAAGCCGATGGAGGGAAATTAATAAATCAGGGGAACAGAGTCACTGAGTGACATGACATCAATGGGCGTTCATGTGGTGCGCTCTGCTAAACAATGCTGGAATTGTGCCTTCCAGGGTCCCTGCAAGTCATGAACAAAACAAGAAAGATTATGGAGCATGGGGGAGCCACCTTCACCAACGCTTTTGTGACCACCCCCATGTGCTGCCCCTCCCGGTCCTCCATGCTCACCGGAAAGTATGTGCACAACCACAACGTCTACACCAACAATGAGAACTGCTCCTCACCTTCATGGCAGGCAATGCATGAACCTCGGACTTTTGCTGTATATCTTAACAACACTGGCTACAGAACAGGTAAACGTGGACTTGTTAGCCAATGAACCTCTGCTGGTACTTCTTAGATACAGGAAAATGCCTCGTCATGAAATATATAAAGTTCCAACAATTGGAAGTAGTGTAGGTTTTTGGTTTTGTTTTTTGGGTTTTTTTTCCTCTATCAGGAGCCTCCCTATCCCCCTTTTTTTTTTTTTTTTTTTTTTTTTGCTTGCTCTAAAGAATGTACCAATGTGAGATCCCTTAGGAAAAAAGTGATGCTCAGGGGGGCACATTATGAAAATGTTATATTCATCAGAGCACACAACGGTTGGAATTTTCTAAGAGGATCCGCAACAGAACAGTTTTCACCCCCATTTACCTGCTTACCTCAAACTCCCAGATCTCAAGGGATCATGGTTCAGCTTGAGGCTTGTCTTAGGTGTCAGTAAATTCCTGCTGATTGTTTCAGTGAGAAATCAACAAAGGTTTTGAAACTGTTTAGCATCTACTTCAAGATCTGGGACACAATAGGTCATCAGAATGATTTTTTGAATTAATAAATAACTGAATGAAGAAACCAGTGGGGTATACCTTATTGATTCATTTACTCATTCATTCCTAAAATCAAGAGAATTTGGAGTTTCTTTAGCCAATTTGTGGTTATTTTTAGGTCCCATGTGTTCATGCCCATCTTCCATGAAGGGAAGTCATCCCCAGTCCTGTGTAGGGCAAGGAGAGGTTTTTGGTTACTTGGTCTTTTGAAAATTGGGGGTCTCTTTCAAGAGAAGTCATAAATGTCATGCCAGTCTTTCTAAGAAAGAAACAAGCTCCTTCTGGTAAGGTTAACCCCCAAAACCTTTGAATAAAACCTGAGAGAATTCTCAGCATGTCGATATTCTCTTGGGTTTTCTGAACGCTTCCTTTTGAAAGGCAACAAGGATGTTTATAGAAGAGTGGGAGAACAAAACTAGTTTTGTTTTTTTTTTTTTTTTCAGAGCCACCTAGACTTATAAGATTTAAAGATATCATCATTAAATCTCGTTGGAAATGATTTTTAGGTCTACGGATTCTCTATTCTGAAGATGATGAAGTAAAGGGTTTCAAACAAATGTATTCTCTTAAATACCTTTAAACAATGAAATGAATCTTTCCCACTGGACTTGAAAAATATGAGGCCATTTGCTTCTTTTGCAGAGCATTCTGTGGGCACTTAATCCTTGTTATTTATGGATAAAAATATTGATTTTGACTATGATAGTGTTGTCATTCACAAGCATCTTAAAATCTCCTCCCATGACTCTCAAGGGTGTTTGCTTATGCTTTGGAAAGAAACTAGGTTACACAGAGTGCCTTATCCTAAGTGTGTTTTCTCACGTAAGTGATTTAAATTTATGGCACCTTTCATCTGAGAGCTCTAAGGCACTTTGCAAATCCATCAAACATCCCCGTAGGGTTCAGAGACAGCAAATGTACTTGGCTCTGTTTTATAACTGAGGTGGAGATTTCAAATACCGTGTGACCAACTCAGAAGCAAAATCAGAAACGTTCCCCTAAAGCCTGGTTCCTAATTGTAACCACCAAATTGTGTTTTGTTCGTGAGAAGCATCATGTGAAATTGATGCCTTTCAAACTCCCAGGCTCCCTATCATTTAAAACCTAGTAGCAGATACATAGCTTGAAGGATCAGGACTCTCCCCATATCCAGAGTGATATGGACGAATTCTGTCATAAGAAATAGAGATGCAGGATGACACAGGGAACCCTGATAGGACTTAGAGTGGCCCACTAGGTTTTGCTAACTTGTTTCAGAGCAAATCAAGAAAAAGCAAGAAGATAAATGAGTTCTGAAGAAACTGTGTACAGCAATGGGACCGTAGTTGACAATATTGTATTGTGCACTTGAAATTTGCTAAGAGGGGTTGGTGTTGTCACCATATAAGAAATGAAAAGGGAACATAGTAGAGGTATGAGGTGATGGATATGTTGGTTGGCTTGGCAGCGGTGAATATCTCACGATGTTTAAGTATTTCGGGCCATCAGGTTTTACACCTTAAATATATTGCAACTTTTTTAGGATTTTGTTTATTTATTTGAGAGACAGAGAGAGAGAGCACTTGCAAACGCAGGGCGAGAGAGGGACAAGTAGACTCCACACTGAGAGTGGAGCCCCACCCAGGGCTTGATCCTGCAACCCTGAGATCATGACCTGAGCAGAAACCAAGAGTCGGGCACTTAACAGGCTGAGTCACCAAGAGGCCCCAAATATATTACAATTTTCAATTGTCAGTAATACCTCAAAGAAACTAAGGAGAAAAAAGTAAGAGGGAAAAGAAGGAAATTAGTATTTGTTGCTGACCTGCCATGCAGCCCGCACTTTCACGGAATTGTCTCACTGAATTCTTTTGGCTTTGCCTATGTTACCAAAGACGAAAAGACTCAGGAATTGTCTAGGGTCACAGGTTAACCAGTCTTGAGTTGGATTCAGCACATCTGACTCCAGAGTCTTTCCTTTTCCATCATTTTATTTCTTTATGTACGTTTCTGTCATGGCTCAAACCAGAGTTTCTTCAGGGACACGTAAAACACACCAGGATACAACACAGTAAGGACCCTGGAAAATGGAAATGAAGAGACGTACCAGTAAAAGTCAAGGCAAAGCTAGGCGTACAAAGTTCCCACTGTGGAGTTGTGGGGGGGGGAGGGTGCCTATGTGGAACTAAGCTTCCAGATGGCAAAAGCAAAAATCAAAATGCCATCCATTGCGAAGTTTACCAGGTCACTAAGATAAAATAAATTGGTTTCTTCTAAGAAGCATAGCGTATTCTGGTACTTGTTTCAATTAGACTATGCTGTATCTACCCTACCAAGGGATCATAAGACATAAGATAAAACAGAGAGAATTTAGTTGGAGTCCCTTATTTTCAGGTGAGCAAATTTAAGCCAAGATTAAAAGTGACACATCCGATTTTCTAATGCAGGGAGCAGGTGTCAGGACCTTGGTCTTCAGGGTTCTTGCCAGTGTGCTACCCTGCCTATATGGGTGGGGTCTCAAATGACACTGCACACCATAAGGCTGTCCCAGTGACAATTGTCAGGCTCTTTGTGAAGCCCAGTTGTCTTCTCTCAGTGTAGAAGACTTGCTCCTGGAAACCTAGTCTGATTCTGAGGCCAACCTTCTTTCTGCCCAGGGGTCTAGACACTTAGGTAATAATTGGATTTATAGTGAGTCATCGTAGAGAGGAAAAGGAATTCTTTAAAGGAAACAAGGACTTTTCCAAATAGTTAAAAATAGAAAAAGGATGATCTTCACAGAAGAAAATTAATGTTGATGTGCCCCTTAATGAATCAGACAAAAGTACAAATTGGAAGACGAAAATGGCAGTGATAGAGATCTATACAATTTAAATTTATCTTTGATAGGAAAATAATGAAGAATCTCAGGTGATTAGGAAGCAAAAATGCCTTCTTAACAACAGTTTATTGATCTAGCCAGGGATAGAGACCCATTTGAAAATACACAAATAAGAACAGCAGGATGACAGGCATTTTAAGAAGTCAAGAGAATGAGTGAAGGGGTATTAAACCAACATAATCATTTATAATCTACTAACCTAGAGGGGGAAAAGCTGATATATAAAGATTTTATTGTTTTTCTAATAATGAATACATTATCTGGAATGTTTAGCTGAGAACCCAAGAAAAATAATGTAAGAAATTGAGATATGTATCATACATAAATATTCATCGAGAGAAAAGCACAACGCAGTAATCAGTTTTATGAAGAATAACTCCAAGAAGACAAATTACTAAGAGACAGATTTTGGGAGGCATCCAGAATACATGGATTTCAATGGATTGAATTGATCCAATATTATATTTACCATCGTATGACATGATTTTTCTTTCTCAGAACTGAGGCATATTTTTGGACTGGCTATAGCCTGAATTTTTTCTAACTTTACTCATGGAAAATATGACTCTCCAACAGCTTAAATGTTCAAAAGGGGAAAATAGAGCAACATGTCTATTGCATTTTATGTTCAGACAAGTGAAGTGGGAATGATACTGGATGATCTATCATAAAAATGAATATCCTACCTGACTCTCCGCTCAAAAAAAAAAATTAGTGTGAATTTCTCGTGAGACTTGAATGTAAAACCTCGATAGACTTGAATGTAAAACCTGGCATTAGTTTTAAGGTAAAAGTAACAATCCACGTTTGCGAGATAACAATAAATGTCAGAAAAATCCCTGAATCAAGACTGAGGAGAGCTAGAGCCACATCACATCTCTGCCTTTAATTTGTTTAGAGAAACTTGCATAGGCTAGTTTTCCAACTCATATATGTAATACAGAGATTAAATTAGGATGATTCCTAGTGTTTTTTCCTGTCTAAAATTATACTGTGGTTTTATTATAATCCCTATAATTTTTATATTGATTCATTGAAAGATTGTAGTGTTCAAGTTACAGTCAGAATACATGATACATAAAATCACATGTGAATTAAATTTTAGTCATACTCATTTTACTTCATATCATTTGGGGAGAAGGGGCTATATTTAATGGAGAACTGCAATAAATTCTTTTGAAAAAAAATCCCTTTGTAACAAAATAATTTGGACAAAGGAAGTTTCTGATTTCATTTCTTTTTAGTTTATGAAATTTATTTATGTTACTTACAGCATATATATTTTATTTGCTGTCCAATATGGGATTTTTTAAAAATGTAGAGATGACCTAAAGTAAGACACACTAATATTCTAATTTTAGTGAATAATGACATTACAGATTTTTGATAGTAACATGAGGTCAAGCAAACATTTTTTGAACTACTGATGCCTGGAATTACACTAAATGCTGGGATATAAAAAGATATAAAGATCCCTGTCTTCATTAGATTTACAGTCCAGTTGGGGAATTGCAGTTTTAACTTGGTTCAAAATCATGTATGTTGTTAGTTTGTCAGTTACTACCAGTAAAATCCTGTGACCCCAAGCCTATCAATGACACGGAGTAAAAGCTCAATTAGTGTATCG